GTCGCAACTTCTAAGTTAATAATAATAATAATAATAATGTAAATAATCGACGCGGAGACAACAATTTTATAATAGCTATAAAGAGAACAAATTCTGCTGTCATCGCCACACTACAACAAAGTCATGAAGGTTTACCAAAATCGATTTTCTTGTCACAATCATCAGTGGAAAGCCGTGACTGAAGAATAACCATGCCAAATCAATAATTTATCTACATTCAATAATGTGTTACGAGAACAAAACAAAGTGCTAAAAATAGAATGAGGGAAGGTGAGACAATAGAAGTAAAGTGAGAGCTAAGTGCAACAGGGGTGAGGAACTAATTGCAACGCTAGAACTATGTAGTGAGACAAACAATCATGCTGTGCACCTACGAAAACAATCTTAACGCAACTACATGTTTCTTCTGCTTACAAAGATCAGGCTTATGCAAACGAATACAAACAGCCTCAAGTACTTTCAACTGACTAGCGTACCGTGCACGACAAAGAGCAGAAAAACTAAAATCATCATACACCTGCAGACACTTAGGGTGAGACAACAGATGAAGAAAAACGGCAGACTTCTTACGATCACAATCACCATCCGATTCCTCGTCTCCACCAACCGCAACCTCGTCCCCCGTCTCATCTTCCAACTCATCCTCAGTGTCGTCCTCCGTGTCATTCTCCTCATCACCACCGATCGGTCCCAGGCTCGCTTCACGTTGCTGAACCTCTGTTCGTTGACTCCTCCCTTGATCTTGACGGTAACCTGTTACCATTGCTGTTGTTGTCATTGCCGTTGTTCCTGTTGTTGCTAAATCTTCTGTTCCCAGTGTCTTCACCGGTGCTCGACATCCAGTACTGTAATAATTCATTGAATAATTAGCCGTTGATCGTCTAGGTCTTTGAATGTTGATCGTATTGTTTTCTCTGTTGAATTCCGTTTCCCTCAGCCTTCTTTCTTCTTGTTCATGTTCAGTGCTCACCTCATCCATATTTGCCCGTTCCAGCGACACCACAGACTCAGCCCCAGCACTGCCGATGGCAGATGCAGGTGGCGGTTCTGGGGGAGGCAACGGCAACGATGGCGATGGGGGCATCACCATGATCACCTCGCCGCAGCGTCTACTTTGGTCTTGAGCTGGATGTTGTTGTGGTGTACTTTCTTGTGTTGTTATGGTGCATTGTGTTATAACGTTAGTGACAATGTGCACATTATCCATCTCCACGGCTCTCGATACGGGTAATGGAGGCACTATTGCCGTCGACGGCAATTGTGCTAACGATGGCTCTGATCGAGGGTTCTTAGGTGGCCTGCCGCGTTTGGGTCGCAGTGCCCGTGCCGAGCCAGTCAGCATATGCAGTGGGACGTGCTGCTTGATACGTGCGTTCAGATGTTGAAGAGTCCTACCAACGTACCGACTACCGCATTGTCGGCACTCCAATTGGTATACCAATTTAGATGCGAGTTGGGTTGGTAGGACATCCTTCCTCACCGTGAACGCACGTACAGTTGTGAAAACCGGTACAAAATGTACCGCGTAGTACGTTTGTTGTACAATTTTGCGGACCACGCGACTCATGGATAATGAGAGGTTACCTTTCCAAGGGAGAGAAAGATACGTGGGACATTTGTCCGGGCCAAAACGTATTTCCTTTCTATGCAGCCTTTCGCTCATGAGCTCCTTCAAGAGATCGTCGGGATACCCGTTCTTTAGAAAAACTGACTTTAGGAATTCCAGTTCCTCAGCCAGTTTGGAAGAGGAGCAAATACGGTTTGCTCGATCCACCAAGTTACGCACTAAATTCACCTTGTATTGGTACGAACAATACGAGTCAAACATTATGTACTGGCCGGTGAATGTAGGCTTTCTGTACACAGATGTTACTGTACCTGAGTAAAAGGAATTCCAGTTCCTCAGCCAGTTTTACTCAGGTACAGTAACATCTGTGTACAGAAAGCCTACATTCACCGGCCAGTACATAATGTTTGACTCGTATTGTTCGTACCAATACAAGGTGAATTTAGTGCGTAACTTGGTGGATCGAGCAAACCGTATTTGCTCCTCTTCCAAACTGGCTGAGGAACTGGAATTCCTAAAGTCAGTTTTTCTAAAGAACGGGTATCCCGACGATCTCTTGAAGGAGCTCATGAGCGAAAGGCTGCATAGAAAGGAAATACGTTTTGGCCCGGACAAATGTCCCACGTATCTTTCTCTCCCTTGGAAAGGTAACCTCTCATTATCCATGAGTCGCGTGGTCCGCAAAATTGTACAACAAACGTACTACGCGGTACATTTTGTACCGGTTTTCACAACTGTACGTGCGTTCACGGTGAGGAAGGATGTCCTACCAACCCAACTCGCATCTAAATTGGTATACCAATTGGAGTGCCGACAATGCGGTAGTCGGTACGTTGGTAGGACTCTTCAACATCTGAACGCACGTATCAAGCAGCACGTCCCACTGCACATGCTGACTGGCTCGGCACGGGCACTGCGACCCAAACGCGGCAGGCCACCTAAGAACCCTCGATCAGAGCCATCGTTAGCACAATTGCCGTCGACGGCAATAGTGCCTCCATTACCCGTATCGAGAGCCGTGGAGATGGATAATGTGCACATTGTCACTAACGTTATAACACAATGCACCATAACAACACAAGAAAGTACACCACAACAACATCCAGCTCAAGACCAAAGTAGACGCTGCGGCGAGGTGATCATGGTGATGCCCCCATCGCCATCGTTGCCGTTGCCTCCCCCAGAACCGCCACCTGCATCTGCCATCGGCAGTGCTGGGGCTGAGTCTGTGGTGTCGCTGGAACGGGCAAATATGGATGAGGTGAGCACTGAACATGAACAAGAAGAAAGAAGGCTGAGGGAAACGGAATTCAACAGAGAAAACAATACGATCAACATTCAAAGACCTAGACGATCAACGGCTAATTATTCAATGAATTATTACAGTACTGGATGTCGAGCACCGGTGAAGACACTGGGAACAGAAGATTTAGCAACAACAGGAACAACGGCAATGACAACAACAGCAATGGTAACAGGTTACCGTCAAGATCAAGGGAGGAGTCAACGAACAGAGGTTCAGCAACGTGAAGCGAGCCTGGGACCGATCGGTGGTGATGAGGAGAATGACACGGAGGACGACACTGAGGATGAGTTGGAAGATGAGACGGGGGACGAGGTTGCGGTTGGTGGAGACGAGGAATCGGATGGTGATTGTGATCGTAAGAAGTCTGCCGTTTTTCTTCATCTGTTGTCTCACCCTAAGTGTCTGCAGGTGTATGATGATTTTAGTTTTTCTGCTCTTTGTCGTGCACGGTACGCTAGTCAGTTGAAAGTACTTGAGGCTGTTTGTATTCGTTTGCATAAGCCTGATCTTTGTAAGCAGAAGAAACATGTAGTTGCGTTAAGATTGTTTTCGTAGGTGCACAGCATGATTGTTTGTCTCACTACATAGTTCTAGCGTTGCAATTAGTTCCTCACCCCTGTTGCACTTAGCTCTCACTTTACTTCTATTGTCTCACCTTCCCTCATTCTATTTTTAGCACTTTGTTTTGTTCTCGTAACACATTATTGAATGTAGATAAATTATTGATTTGGCATGGTTATTCTTCAGTCACGGCTTTCCACTGATGATTGTGACAAGAAAATCGATTTTGGTAAACCTTCATGACTTTGTTGTAGTGTGGCGATGACAGCAGAATTTGTTCTCTTTATAGCTATTATAAAATAATAATAATAATAATAATAATAATAATCATCTTGTGCCTGTCACGGAAAATCTTGACATGAAGCTCCTGTGGGAATTCAATATCCCAACGGATACGCAAGTGCGCCACAACCGTCCAGACCTGGTGTTGCGGTCCAGCACACAGGTGCTGCTGATGGATGTCAGTGTTCCATTGGACCAGAATGTGCCCACAAAAATCGCCGAAAAAATAACTAAGTACGCTCCCCTTTGCCAAGAGCTGCGGCGCATCTGGCATGTGGATGATGTCCGCGTTGTGCCCCTGGTTGTTGGGGCGCTTGGTGGACTGACTGGTGTGTCCCTGTCACACTTTGTGTTGGCATTGGCAGGCACTCTGCGCATTGAAAGGGCTCAGCAATGTGCTATCCTGGGCACGCTGAACATCGTCAAGTCGGTTCTTGGCATTCGGCATTAGGCTCCTCATGTTACGGGTAGAGCTAGTCCGTATAAACCTCCAATACCGCATTTGCTTTGACATCCATGATTGTGCAGCATGACGGTCCTCACAACCTGATTTTTCTCTTGCCATTTGAGTATGTCCGGCATTCATCACTTCCTCTATTTCTACAGATCTATTCCTGGTAGTCCATTTTTTGTGATTACTCTTTTTGTTGGTAGTCCATTTTTGTGATTACTCTTTTTGTATTCGAATATGTCCTGTCCTCCTCCATCTTTTTGTATTCGAATATGTCCTGGCCTCCTCCATCGTTCTGCTTATTTCTGTTCGTCTCTCAGTTTCTGCCTCGGCTTTCAATATTTTTGCTTTGGTTTTTACAATCCTTTTTGCTTCGGTCTTCATTGCGTTGGCCATTTATCTATTTTTTTCTCTCATTACCCTTGGTCTCTTTTGGCCCGGTGATGGGGTTCTTACCTCATGTCATGACAACGTGAGTGAAATAAAGCCAACTCCATAATAATAAACACAGCTCGCATCTTCCCTGAACCTGTTAGACAGGAGCAGAGTCTACGCATCTGTCAACAGTGTCAAGCCAAGTTAGTCTATCTCCTGCAGCTTGGAGAGCGCTCTCCATGGAGAGATCCGCTGCCTTCAGGTCGATATCTCTCTTCCATAATCTAGTCGTTGTGTTCGTCTTGGTCTCCGTCTTTCCGTTTCTTCGTCTATAATAAATGTCTTCCCAACTACTCGTTCCCGTTGTCCGTTGTGTCTTGGGGAGTATGACTTCTCTTTGTACCCAACACAAGGAACATACTATTTTGTGTTCCGACAATGCCAATCATGAAGCTTACGTTCGCATCGAGGTACATGGCTGGTCCAGGTACGATCGGCCTGGCAGATAGCAGACAGTGATCCTACAAGGTTGTAACCCTCGTTGCAAGCCCAGTCAACACGGTTCTGGTAGACCAGTCCCTCCAGCTCACGACTACCGAACATTGGCTTGCCTGGGTCAGCACACGTGATTGCTGTTAAACATGGCCGACAGAACAAGAACAGAAAAGCATAGAACAGGGTACAGGAGCTGTGTTCAAGCCAATGAGATGAAAGAAAACTAAATTGCATGATGTATGGGATGTACAATATTGGTTTTCAAAACACCAATCAATCTAGCAACCTGCACTTCACTCATGTCTGGACGTATGGTTGCAGACTGGCACGGAACTACTCCATTGACCGCTGGCCAAACTACAATGGGAACGTGCTAAATTGTGTTCGCACAACACAAACAGCTCTATTAAGTTGTGCTCAAGAATACCCGCTATTGATGAAGCGTAGATTGAAGAAGCAGCAATGCAGCTACTTAGCTTGGTCTCAGTTACGTACAAGCCAACAACTCAGCGGGCATCAAAGCCAATTCTTCCAGCGGCAATACTGTAACACAGAATACTTACGGACACACTGTGGTACTGGGCTGCTCCATTGTCCATTCAGCAGACACCTGACACTGGCATCCCCGACCAGTTCATAACCACTGTCACATGAGTAGCCAACACGGCTGTCATAAACAGTAGAGGTGAGAGCATGTTGGCCATTGGCAACCTGTTCTGGGTCTCCACAGTCAATCTCTGCTCAGTGGAATAGCATATAAGGCAATTCGACAGGCAGGAGGAAGCTCAATGAGAGAGCTTGAAAGCTCAGGGCCGTACGCTATGCTTTTTTGCCTAGCTCGTCATGCATGTTATTAGAACTGTTGAGTACGAAAACGATGACGACATATTCTCCAGACATTACAATGGAACAGGTTAGGATTTAACAACATTCATTAGGGAGATGGAGAGACAGAGGCCAAGATGAACAAAATGACTACATTGTCGAAGAGAGAGACAAGAGCGAGAGATCAAGTGAGAACGGCAAGATAAAGGGCCTGGGCAGCTATGGCAAATATGGGCGCGCAAGTAGCTACCCAGGCCAACGGAACAAAAGGTGACAAAAGGAGACAAAAGGTGAGTACGACGTAGTATGGGGTGCATGCTGGCCAGCTTGGAAAAGGTTGTACGGGAGGAGGTACCTAACAGAACTGATCGGCTACATCATTGTATTGCAAAAACATTTTCATCAGTTCGAATAACATGCATGATGAGCTAGGCAAAAAAAGCATAGCGTAGGGCCCTGAGCTTTCAAGCTCTCTCGCTTCTTTTTCTCATTTTTCGATCTTTTTTTTTAACGATAACGTGGGTTCGAACCTGCACTATCGCCCTCCGCTGCATGCATTCCCTCAATACACTTCGCATACATACATATTCTACCATTTTACAGGAATTAGTCTAAAAGGAGAGTGAAGAACATCCCCAAAAGCGAGCCTAATGACGCGAGGTTCATGCCCTTACTGTGTATCAAGGATCATAGCAAAAATGATGTGAAACTCGCGTGCACTAGCTGGCCAGCACAAGAGATCATTCTGGCCTATCTTGCACTACTGTTGCAGTCCTTGCGCCGATTTGTTGTTGTGGGGCAGTTCTTCTTTCTGGTCATGTTGGACGGTTGCTCAGCAAGTGACGCTTCGTGGCGGCTTCATTCGAGTTTCTGCCAGGGCAGGGATTATTCCCATGATGTCTCAGTGCTGGTAGCGTAGCGAAAAGGCATATGGAGGCGCTCCGTGTTTGCTTTCCTGCCACGCGGTTGAATTCGGCTAGTGCATGCCCGTCGGATAGTTTGAAATTTGAATAATTTCCAGTTGATTTTAGTGAATAACTTTATTCAAGACCACTTGTTAGTGCTTAGGGACATATTGTAGCAGACTATGGTGGTGGTCTACTCCAAATTTCAGGACGTAACCTCGCTGCTACTGGCCCCTAAATATGGCCTTCGTAATGGCGCCATTGGACAGGTTGAATTGATCGGTTCGTTCGGCTCAGCAATTTTCCCGTCGAAAGATGGATGGCTAGCATTGACCCCTCACTCTTGGACCTTGTTTCAGTGTGTATTTTAGTCAATTTTTGCCCACTATCCAAGTGTTAGGTATCTCCTACCATATGTTCTACAACCTTTTCCAAGCTGGCCTGCATGCACCCTCATGCTCACCTTTTGTCTCCTTTTGTCATCTTTTGTTCCGTTGATCTGGGTAGCTATTCATTCAAACTACAATAGGAACGTGCTAAAATTAATTGTGTTTGCACACAGCTCACAATTAGAATAACAAACCCTCTGGAAGTCATTTGCATTCGCTATGCTAAGCTGTGAAAAAGTAAAACATTCAATTCTCCCCCTGCAATATCTTCTCAGTCCGTGAGCGTGCATTTGCATGTCATGCTAGTCATGTAAAGACCCAGTTTATATTTGTTGTGACACTGGTATACTCCTTGATGAAGCCCCAAGGGTGAACATTAGGAGATAGTAACCGTTGTAAGATTGCAACGCAAGACCGTGGAAGTGGTATTGTTTTTGAGAAGATAACTGGAAATGAAAACAAAAAATGTATGTACTTCCAAACAGAACAACTTGTAGCAGTTTATTCACCTTCACACACAGGAAGCTGTGTCCAGAGCCCTGTTCTGGACATGTTTTTAGCACATCTGATGGAAGCATTATTTCCAGCTTTCAGCTTGTATCCACCCTCACACCGGAAAGTACGTGTTGAACCTAGTGTACGGCCAGTGTTGTCAGTGTCAATCAGCATTCCATTCAGCACACGTTCAGGCTCTGGGCAATATGTAGTGATCTCTATGGAAACATAATGAAGCAAAACTGAGCATCATGTCCCAACACTCACCAACAACCTGCAAAGTAGAAGTTCGATGCTAAAATGGAAGACATAAAGCGCAGTTCACCACAGCAAACTAACACATTTGTCCATGCCCATCCGTCTTCTTCCTCAGTACTACTCTTCAGATGGTTTGCAAGGTCCATGAATTGTTCTTCTTTGATGAATTGTTACAATACATAAAACTCTCCTCCTGCATGCGCTCTAAAGCCGATCATTGCTACCCTCGGTAGCCATTACTCACACCAATAATCTCAAACAACGAAGGGGTCACGGGTAACAATAGTAGCAATGGTCGCAGTGGTCAGCTTTAGAGCGCATGGAGGAGGAGAGTGTCATGTATTTTAAAAGAAAACGCCGAATTGTACCGTTCACAGTTTTATGAATTGTACATAGACGAAATAGTTACTTCGGTTTCAACCTAGAAATGTGGCCACTCCATTCTTTTTAAAACTCGGATGTTGAGCAAAGAGTATCAAATCTATTTAAAAGAAAGAAGAAAGGATCAATACGTTACAAGTTATGACTGTCTATCTGACTGTAAAACAGAGAGATTCCTGGCTGTCCAAGAGAGTGCTCAATACCGAGAGGCAGAGCTAGTTCAAACAATAATAAGAGGACGAAAAAAGTGTTTTTACTCCGAGTTTCAAGCACTAAGCGATCATCAGTCGGAAAACAGTAATGAGTAACTCTGGATCAGTCTGCATCTGCAATTCATCATCAGCCTACTACATTTATTATACATATATTGACCTGCACTTTCCCAAAAAAGGAGTATTTTATAAACAGTATTTATTGGCCTTAGTGGTATTTTATAAACAGCATTTATTTGCTCAAAAGCCAATAAATACTGTTTATAAAATACCACTAATCCAGAAAGTGGTGGACATCACGCAACTGCATTGTAAAAAAAGGTGGTTTCAATTGGCAAACCGTTTGTCAACTGACAACCGCTCTATTTAGTTGCTATTCACTCTTGGCACATGCGCTGGATGAAAAATTCTTCTATTCCCGTAGCTCTGCAAAAGACGTTACTTCAGTAACGTCTAGCCAGGGTCCACACAGGTCAAAATAGTAGGGGGGGGGCAGGAACAAAGAATTTAAAAAACGTAACAAACTTCAAAGCCATACGCACAGGTATAGAATATCAAGAACATCGGAAGACACATCTAACCTGGTTGGGTGGGTGGGCAACTTCACCTACCACGTGGAAAACAAATACATTGTGTGCTCTATTTCGCTATGCTAAGCTGTGAAAATGTAACACATTCAATTCTCCCCTGCAATATCTTCTGAGTCCGTGAGCGTGAATTTGCATGTCATGCTAGTCATGTAAAGACCCAGTTTACATTTGTTGTGACACTGGTATACTCCCTGATGAAGCCCCAAGGGTGAACATTAGGAGATAGTAACTTGTAAAATTGCAACGTAAGACCGTGGGAGTGGTATTGATTTTGAGAAGATAACTGGAAATAAAACAAAAAATGTATGTACTTCCAAATAGAATCACTTGTAAAAGTTTATTCACCTTCGCACACAGGAAGCTGTGTCCAGAGCCCCGTTCTGACCATATCTTCAATACATGTTATGACAGCATTACTTTCAGCTCCCAGCATGTATCCATCTTGACACCGGAATGTACGTGTTGAACCTAGTATACGGCCAGTGTTGTCAGTGTCAACCATCATTCCATTCAGCACACTTTCAGGCTCTGGGCAATATGTAGTGATCTCTATGGAAATATAATGAGACAAAACTAAGCATCATGTCCCAACACTCACCAACAACCTGCAAAGTAGAAGTTCGATGCTAAAATGGAAGACATAAAGCGCAGTTCACCACAGCAAACTAACACATTCGTCCATGCCCATCCGTTCTCTTCCTCAGTACTGCTCTTCAGATGGTTTGCAAGGTCCATGAATTGTTCTCCTTTGATGAATTGTTACAATACATAAAACTCTCCTCCTGCATGCGCTCTAAAGCCGATCATTGCTACCCTCGGTAGCCATTACTCACACCAATAATCTCAAACAACAAAGGGGTCACGGGTAACAAAAGTAGCAATGGTCGCAGTGGTCAGCTTTAGAGCGCATGGAGGAGGAGAGTTTTATGTATTTTAAAAGAAAAAGACAAATTGTACCGTTCACAGTTTTATGAATTTGTTAGGTACCTCCTCCCGTACCTTTTCTAGCTGGCCTGCATGCACTTGCGTACTCACCTTTTGTTCCGTTGGCCTGGGTAGCTACTTGCGCGCCCATATTTGCCATAGCTACCCAGGCCCTTTATCTTGCCGTTCAGACTTGATCTCTCTCTCTCTTTTCTCACTCTTCAATGTAGTCGTTTCGTTCGTCTTGGTCTCTTGTCTCGTCGTCTATAATAAATGTCGTTCCCCCAACCTACCTGTTTCCATTGTAATGTCTGGATAATGTGTCGTCAGTCGTCCTGTTTCAAACTCAACATTGGCGCCCAATTATTGATCGACCCACGACCCTGAGATCATCCCATGCCCAGTCGTCCTCAACCGCCATTCGTCTCGTCTATGTCAACCTCGTCTCGCCTATGTCCATCTCGTCTCCAACCGCTTCTCGTCTATGTCAACCTCGTCTCGTCCATGTGAACCTCGTCTTCTATGTCACCCTCGTCTCGTTCAAGCCATGCAGGTCAGCTACCTTTCTCTCTTTCTTTTTTTTGTATGCGTTCCTTCTTCGTCAAATTTATTTCGTGAATTTTTTTGTAGTGTGTGTGCGCGCGGGTGTCCTTCATTTATATTAGGGGTCCGATCATGGTGAGCCACGCTCTCTTATTTATGTCGTATATTAAAGTGTAACTAGGCTCTATTAGCCGTGCAAAATACTAGTCATCAGAATACAATTCAAGTCCCTCGTCGAACTCCAATAGTTATTTTTTGTGCCATGTTTTGAAGGGGCGTTTGGGCCCGTTGTTATTGGCAATGTACACACTATAGTATGAGTAGTACAGGAACGTTGACGGTTGTAATGATCTGTGGTGCATTTTTTAGTACACACTTTTGTGAGGCCCGTGCGTTGTGTGTGTGTGTGTGTTTTTTCTCCTTCAGTCATTTTTTTCTTTCTCTCTCTCTCTCTTTTTTTTTCTCTCCGCGAGGACGCGGGATTTTTTCATGGAGGGGTGGTATGTTAGGTAGTCCCCTGGCGAAGATGGCATACCCAATGAGGTTCTCAAATGGCTTGCGCCATCTCTGTCCTATCCCTTGTGCCTGCTCTTTAACATGTCATATCGTACAGGAGTATTTCCGTCCGTCTGGAAATCTGCTGTTATCGTCCCGATCTATAAGAAAGGCCAACGCTCTCAGGCTGGCAACTACAGACCAATCTCTCTCCTTCCCGCTGTGTCCAAGGTCTGTGAACGTATTTTCTTTGAGTCTCTGTACTGCCACGTCACCCCAGCGCTTTCACCATCTCAATCCGGTTTCTGCCGTGGAGACTCCACAACTTTCCAACTAACACGTCTAGTACAAGACATCTACACCCAGCGGAACCTCAGGCGGCATGTTGGCATCGTGTTCTTTGACCTAGCGAAAGCTTTCGACACCGTCTGGCATCGTGGTCTGCTTGCAAAGCTAGAGTCCGTCTTCTTGGTACACGGTCCAGCCCAGCAATGGCTCTCATCCTATCTTTCCTGCCGCCACCAGACTGTCAGAGTATCTACCTCCCTATCAGACCCATTACTAGTCGTGTCTGGGGTACCCCAGGGGTCCATACTTGGGCCGCTCCTATTTCTACTGTACGTTAATGACTTGCCAGCCCTTGTACCAAATGTAAGTCTTTTTGCTGACGACACTGCTCTGATGTGCTCCGACAGCTCGGCAGACAACCTCACGGCCTCCATGCAGTCCGGGGTCAACGCTACAGTAACATGGATGGAAACCTGGAAACTGAAGCCTAACCTCGCCAAAACCGAGGCCATGTTCTTCTCTCCCTCGCCCCCCACTCAACTTCTGTATTTTCCTGGTCTAAATAGTACACCTATTAAAGTTGTTAACGAGCACAAGCACCTGGGCGTTATTCTCGACCGCCAACTCTCCTGGTCTCCACAAGTCCAGTCTGTGTGCAAGCGTGCGAGTGCGTCCTTAGGTATGCTACAACCCCACTGCCAACACTTGAATGATAACTGCAGAGAATTGTTCTTTAAGTCGTACATTTTGCCTATATTTGACTATTGCGATATAGCTTGGTGCGGGTTGTCTCAGACTTTACTCCACAGACTGGAGGTACATCAACGCTTGCTTCTGAAAATTCTGTTTCGAAAAGACCAAACATTTGCCTCCCTTTGTCTTTATAAACTTGCTTCCACGCACCCTCTTCTTGCCCGACATCAGCAGCATCTTTGTATCCTTGTGCAAAAAATCTTCCTAGCCCAAGTCCCGAAACATATTGCCAAGTACAACTGGTTTGTTACCACTAGACCAACACGCAATGCCTTATCACTGCCCCGAGCTAGTTCCTCTCTGTTTTTGAAATCCCCTTTCTTCTCAGCATACTCCCTTTGGTCTAACCTGCCTACTAGCATTAAGACATGCCAGGATATCAGGAAATTCACAGTCCAGCTTTCCACACTGTCTCATCCGAAGTGATCCCATGTATTATTAATGTGCCTCCCTTTCTTTTTCTCTCCCTATCTCCTTTCCCTCTCTGACAGCATCTTTCTTTTTTTTTCCCTTTTTAGCTTGCCGTGGTTGGCTATCACCTGACCTCTCATGTTTATTGGCAGTCTTCGGACGGGCCAGGAGATGTTGAATAAATAAATAAATAAATAAATAGGTACCTCCTCCCGTACCTTTTCTAGCTGGCCTGCATGCACTTGCGTACTCACCTTTTGTCTCCTTTTGTTCCGTTGGCCTGGGTAGCTACTTGCGCGCCCATATTTGCCACAGCTACCCAGGCCCTTTATCTTGCCGTTCAGACTTGATCTCTCTCTCTCTTTTCTCACTCTTCAATGTAGTCGTTTCGTTCGTCTTGGTCTCTTGTCTCGTCGTCTATAATAAATGTCGTTCCCCCAACCTACCTGTTCCCGTTGTAATGTCTGGATAATGTGTCGTCAGTCGTCCTGTTTCGAACTCAACAAATTGTTACATAGACGAAATAGTAACTTTGTTTTCAACCTAGAAATGTGGCCACTCCATTCTTTTTAAAACTCGGATGTTGAGCAAAGAGTATCAAATCTATTAAGAAAGAAGAAGAAAGGATCAATACGTTACAAGTTATGACTGTCTATCTGACTGTAAAACAGAGAGATTCCTGGCTGTCCAAGAGAGTGCTCAATACCGAGAGGCAGAGCTAGTTCAAACAATAATAAGACGATGAAAAAAGTGATTTTACTCCGAGTTTCAAGCACTAAGCGATCATCAGGCGGAAAGCAGTAATGAGTAAATCTGGATCAGTCTGCATCTGCAATTTATCATCAGCCTACTACATTTATTATACATAATTATATTGACCTGCACTTTCCCAAAAAAGGAGTATTTTATAAACAGTATTTATTGGCCTTATTAGTGGTATTTTAAAAACAGCATTTATTTGCTCAAAAGCCAATAAATACTGTTTAACACAAGCATCTGCATGCCGCACTCACACAACGAGCAACCAGTTTGGGGAATAGGAGGGTTTGTCAATTGCTTTGCCAGGCTCCGAGTGAGTGACAGCTTAGAGCTGTGTGAATGTGTGTGTATGACAGCTGGGCAGGGCCCTGCTGCGGAGGCTGAGTGAGCCGTATGGAGGCAGCCGGGTAGGGCCCGGCTGCGGAGGCTGAGTGAGCCGTATTGAGAGGCTGAGTGAGCCGAGGCTGAGTGAGACGTCTGAGTGTGAGATGCTGAATGAGCCGTATGAGGAGCCTGGTAAGCAAGGTTGACTCCCCAAAGAGAGAACCTCCTATTCACTGTTAAAGGGGAACTACACCCAAAAATCAAAACTTCATGGTCCGTAGAGTTTTGGACGCTGAGTCAAATGGTGAAGGTCCCACTTCGATCCGACCAAGCGTTCCTGAGATATCTTCGGTTTAAATTGTACTTTCGGGGGACGCGCCATGACGTCATGCGGCCGCGACACACCCCCAACACGCCCTTCTACGTCATTGAGACTTGCTTGCCTGGGCCAAGCTCAGAAGTACAGGTATTTTGGTATGTGAAAGGAATAGTTCTGACAAAGACGTCCTCACCATGAGCGATTCCGACGTATCAGACGAGCTTGAAAGCTCAGAGCCTGAGCTGAAAATGTTTGGCTTCGGGCATGAGCCGAAATTTTCAGGAAAGGATATGGCAGCGCAAGCGGTGGCTTCCATTCGGGCTGTAAATGTGGATGAAGCAGAAATTACTGCAATTGGAGAAGTCGCTCTCCATCAGCAACATCTGGCAACCGGTTGGCTGGGCTATTTCGAAATGAAGCGGCAGCCAAAGCAGCTCAGACAACCCTGACAATCCGTAAGTGTTTTCACAGTATAGTCCTACGTAATGCTCACAAATCGAATCGTTCTCTTCATATCGTAAATTGTGTGAAATTTTGTATTCGCACAGTACTCAGATCAATAGTCTCCTCACTCGTACTCCTGTACATGGAGTTTGCTGCGTAACATGGCTAGCATTATCTCCGTGCAAGTCGTGCAATGTGTATCGGTTCACTTGTGCTTTATCTCACATAAGTGGACTGCACTCAATTCGTATTGTGGCGAAATACATTCTCACCTTTTGCATTATCACTTAGTAGTCTTTACAGAATGCTGAGACGTTCTCTTGTATTTCACGTAGCTGTGTACCAACAATTACGCTGTGCACTCTAGCAGCAGCAGCAGCAGCAGCAGCAGCAGCACAGTAGCATATTGAGTGCGTTTTGCCCTACTGTGGTGTCTCATGACTGCATTACCGGAACAGCTCTGTCCTTCTTGATTATCATTCTAATATGTGTGCACATATCCGCCTGCGCCCCACACACACGCACGCACATGTGCTCACCTTGGTGGGCACATAGTATAGTAGTCAGACATGCTCACGCACGCAGACACGCAATTTCACAAGCGCGTGCGCACACGAGTGCATAAGCATACAAGTGCCTGTGCACATGCTCGTGCACGCACACATGCGCGCACTCATGCACTTGGTTGCATACCCACACATCCCTCAGGATCACTAACGGCAATGCATCTACTACTTGTCATTCCATGTCCCTCCCGCAAATGGGGAGAGAATGACATAAAGGAGAACACAGAATAGATGACGTGAATATCTTCGGAATGTTATATTACATTACACAAAAGCACACGCATGTGCACGCACACACACACACTCACGCGCATGCGCGCGCACACACACACACTCACGCGCGTGCACCCACACACACAATAATAATAATGTCTGTCTCTCACGCGCGTGCGCGCAAACACACTCACGTGCGCGCACACACACTCACGTGCGCGCACGGGCGCGCGCACGCACACACTCACGCTCGTGCGCGCACACTCACGCGCGTGCGCGCACACACACACTCACGCGCTTGCACGCATACACACAATAATAATGTCTGGCTCTCATCTGCATCCATACTGAGAAAACCCAACGAGTTCCCGAATAGGTGTACACCGTTGCTGGTATGTGGACTATCTTCTCTCCTTGAACTGCGGGTCATTGCGTGATGTAGCTTATCAGCAGTACATACTGCGTGTTCATACAGGAAAAAAACATGCCAGCTAGAGGCGCTGGCGCTGCAAACAGTCCTTCCTATAACCTTGGGGCGGTGGCAGTGGTCGTAGCTCAACAGTGAGTCACTGCGACCGATGGTACAGCCGCTCTTGATCTTCTTCCTGTAAAATCAAAATCAGCAATCGCAGACAGGTTCATCGATCGCACGCAGTATAGGCTAGGGAAACAGGAGATCTACTGCCGTCCACCTCATCAGGCCGGTTTCGGAAAGCTTCACATTTCGTAGTGATGTAGTCCAAAACAATTCTACAAATGCTTTGGAAAAGAAAGAACTACATACAGTAGCTAGTGTTTTTGAAATATTGCACTCACCTCCGCTTTTCGACTGACACTTCACAGTGTGGCGTGCGAAAAAGGACGCACCACAGTTTCATCCACCAGCGTCCGCATCGGATGAGTGCATAATATTCCTCCTGAAAATCCTCCTCTGCCAAATGGCTGGAACACACGCGAAGGATTTACATTGTAGTCCCTAAATTGTCAAGCAAATAATTATGTCGCTTGATAGCTGCTATGGTGCACTGCTCGGCCTGTGCCAAGCACAATCCTTCAGAAATTGGTGCAGGTTCATCCCAGGGGGGTTACCAGTAAGATTATAGTAGCCAACAACACAGCCAGACGCCATGATGACACAAATACCCTCTTCTTCCATGGACAAACAGAAAGAAGATGCGAAATCCCAGTGTTTCTGGATCTGGCCAAAGGATCACCAAGTCTCAATGACGTCACGGGTTTGTGACGTCACGGCACGGACCCGAAAAGGACAATTGCAAACTGATATATCTCAAGAACGCTTGGTCGGATCGAAGTGGGACCTTCACCATTCGACTCAGCGTCCAAAACTCTACGGACCATGAAGTTTTGATTTTTGGGTGTAGTTCCCCTTTAACTGTAGAGGGGGTGCCACAGATTGTGGACAATAGTAGAGTGATATTGAGTTACTGAGTGTACAGTCGGTACATTGGTGACATTCGGGTATGCTCTGGCACCCACAATAAGTGGGCTCAGTCTGTCTGATCAGCGCTTACCCAGGACCGGTGCTGCCAGCTTTCATGGCAGTTTGCATGTGGACTTCCGTCACTCGGCAGTGCAAGGCACTGCCGAAGTCTCCCCAGGAATGGACGGAAGAGCACGCACGGGAGTGGGCATGTGAGCGGCGGTAGGGTAGCACGAATGGAATCGCTTGAAATCTTGCCTGGAGAGAGCGTCAGCAAGGATGTTGGTAGTTCCAGGTATGTGACGGGCGGGTACCATAAAGTTACCCTTGGCGCAGATGAAGAAGAGCTGCCGTAGGAGTGACATCACATTAGGGCAGCGACTGGTGCCAGACTTGAGAACAGCGGTGACAGCTTCGTTGTCGGTATGGAAGCGGATACGCTTGCGACACCACTGGTGGCCCCACGTAGCACATGCAATGCAGATGGGATACAGCTCCTTGAACGTAATGCAGGGCGGAGTGTGTTGTGGTGACCAGGTGTTGGCGAACCAATGCGTGCCGTAAACTGCGCCATGCCCAATGGCGCCAGATGCGTCAGTTTCTATCAGGAAGTCGCTGGCCAGCGTCTCCTGGAGATCGAGGAAGAATGACTTGCCATTCCAGCCATCGAGTAGGTGAGACCACCAAAGAAGGTCCAGATGACATTCTGGAGAGAGACGGATGCGGTGGTAGGGCTTGGAAACGTTGCGCGTGGCATCATACAGTCGGCGCATGAATGTACGGCCCGGCGTGATGAAGCGGCTGGCAAAGTTCAGCTTGCCCAACAGCTGTTCAAGCTCCCGTAGACGGCAGGATTGGTGTTGGCGAAAGGTCAATAGTCTGGAACAGATGTCGTCAACCTTGTCCTGTGGGAGACGAGCCACTTTCTGGACGGAGTCCAGTTCGATGCCCAGGAAGGTGAGACAGGAGGTTGGGCCGACTGTCTTTTCGTCGGCAATGGGAACTCCCAGGTAGCGGAATGCGGAGAGGACTACGTTCAGACGCTGCGCACATAGCGTTGAGTTTGCAAGGCCACAGAGCCAGAAGTCGTCCAGAAGGTGCAGGAGGTGGGGAACCTGGAACAGTTCACAGCTTATCTGGCAAAGTGCGTCCGCAATGCAGTTAAACAAGTAGGGTGCGGACCTCCGCCCGAATGGCAGTACTTTGTCGTAGTAGAATTGGCCCTGCCACTGGAAACCCAACAAATGGTATGCAGTGGGTGCGACAGGGACCAGTCGAAATGCATTGCGCATGTCGAGCTTCGCCATCAAGGCACCGGGACCTTGACGTTGCAGAAGCTCAATGGCATCGTCCACTGTGACATAATGTAGGGAGAACGAATCCTTGTTTATTCCATCATTGACAGACATACGGTCAGGGTAGGACAGGTGGTGAATGAGGCGGAATTTCCCGTTGTTCTTGGGCACTACGCCGAGCGGAGAGCATACAAATGGGTGGAAAGGCTGGACAGAGAAAGGACCGGCCGATTCGTCACGTCGGACCCGGTCAGCAATTTGTTGTTGTACAAACTGGGCATGTTCAATGGCAGTTGGGAGGTTGCCAGAGATGATAGATACAGAAGCACCAGAGTGGCCAATGGGGAACCCGTGTTGCAAGCCATTAAGGATAAAGTCAGAGAGGACACGAGAAATACGAGACAAAAGAGTCATTAGGCGGGCTATGTACAGAGGCGTGGGGAGACTACTTCGCTGCGACGGGCTTGTCCGTCTGGCGGGGTCCCCGGCGACCGTCGTTGGTGCAGCGAGCGGCGGGATGACCTCAGGTTGAGCAGACGTGCAAGCGTTCACAGGGCTGGTGTTGGCATGGGCGGCCACGGCTGAAGTTGAGGCAGATCTGGCAGGTGCTGCCTGCCCCGGCCAGAAATGGCTGCGTAGGACGGCTGGTGTTGGTGCCAGCTGGAGCATGTGGCCCTGCGAAATACTGTGGGCAACGGTCAAGGCTGTGGTGCGTTGTGCAGCGCGGACATGATGGTCGGGGTGCCCGGATCAGGTGCAGGCTCCAGAGGCTTTGGTCGATTGCGTCCCAACGAGCCGAGGTTGTTGCCACCGCTGCACGGAAGGCACGGTCATACCCCAGTACAGCTGGGGTCGCAAACTGCTGGTTGGCAGTACAGATAATGTGCTGGTACGTCACCAGCTCCAGTGCTCGGAATGGCACATGTTTCAGTGCGCAGGCCATGTAGATTGTGTAGGCTTCCAGCCAGGCAGTGAAGTCGACAATGGAGCGCTTCTTAGTCACACATAAATTGAGGGACACACGCCGGCCCTCTCCGTTGGCGGTACTGAGCTCCAAGGGCTCGGACCCTGCGCCCACATTCTCCGGGAGGAGATCCTCCAGCTCAATATATTCGCCGCCTGTGATTTTGTCAAGCAACTTACGCGGGACCGTGGGAACAATAGAGCTGGACTCACGAGTGTTCGCCATGGGCGCTACGATCGGAGGCAGCGCGGGTTGCATGAGGGAAATGTCCATGGGGCCGGAGTCGACCTGCGGCGGGTGATGGGTGACGGTGTTGGACGCGGTTTGGACCACATCTGCCACTGAGGGGACCGCCGCCTGAGCATGGCCGTCCGGATCCTGGCGAGCTGAAATTCGCTCCTCAAGGCGCTCGACTCGAGCCAGCAGGGGGTGCAGGGCCGTCGACACGGCCGCCGTAACGGAACGTGGATTTAGGCCAGTTGTGAGTAGGCTGGCCGGCTGGGGAACGGCGGACGGGATATCGTCCTGCTCCGCACGGGCATTGCCGGAACGATCGGCCGCATGGTTCGCAGGGGCTCGATTTGGAGTGTCAGCATACGGGGACGACGAGGCGCGCCTGCGACTGGATCGCCTGGGCCCGGGAGCTGACTGCTTACGTGCACGGGGCATCTCCGTGAGCTGTGGTAAACCTTGAGATTGAGGTTGAGAAAGAAGTCCACTGCCAATGCGGACAAAGCAAGAACTGAAGTCAGGAACAGTGGACTTCGGAGAACAATGAGCGCGTGAGAGTTTGTTGGGAACAGAGCATGCGCCTTCTGTGTTAACATATTTTGCGCGTGCGCAAAAAATCATTTATAAAATACCACTAATTCAGAAAGTGGTGGACATCACGCAACTGCATTGTAAAAAAAGGGGGTTTCAATTGGCAAACCGTTTGACAACTGACAATCGCTCTATTTAGTTGCTATTCACTCTTGGCACATGCGCTGGATGAAAAATTCTTTTATTCCTGTAGCTCTGCAAAAGACGTTACTTCAGTAACGTCTAGCCAGGGTCCACACAGCTTTAATTCTGTGTTTGTGCCGTCGGCATGCCTGGCGCTATCCCGTACCTGCCCCTACCGTACCATCAAAGACAGCTGGCCACAATATTCAATTAGCCCCTGCACCCGTGAACATGCAAGCACCTCCAAGTGCACCCGCACGCCCAGCTTGGGCACTCGTGCACCTACGCAGACAGACACAAGCGCACACATGCACGCACACACCACTGGTGTACCCATGCTCTGACACGCAGACACCCGCACAACGTACCGCTCACTATGGCGTGCACAAACATACAATAGACACCTTGGGCTGGGGGTTGCCATGATTTCTTTTGGACAATTCAAATATTCAAGAATATGCTCTCGCAAGTTTTGCGTAGCTAAAGTATGTTAACGAGGTGACGTAATGTTTTCACTGTATGCTGATGTCTATCACGCGCGTGTTCGCGCCAGCTCACGGATGCGCCGTTGTGCGCATGCGCACACTCTCTCAACAGCTCGCTTTCCATATGTACACCTTTCAGCAGCCTTCGTGCCTGGCTCTCTTTGTTTGTTGCATTGGCTCGCATGACTCTTGCTCCGTGTTTTTTTGTACCAACTACTGCTGTGTCTGTGCGTGGGTCGTGTATGCTTCCGCATAAGGAGCATGCGTTAATTGATAATAATTGATTGAGTAAAGATGCATGCCTGAAACTAGCATCTGCCCGCCAAGGGCGCACAAATGGCCACCGCGGCCCGCAACTGCCACATGGCTACTGATCACCAGCAGCACGGAACCATCAAGAGCACAGATGTGATTTTCATTGAGACCCAAGTACTGGCTGTGGAAACACAGATGGCAAGAAGAAAAATCAGGGAGTACATCGAGATTCGAGAGCGTCGTCCGGAGATCAATATCTCCTTCGGATGGCCATTGAAGGCGCTAGCACCCAAACAGTGAAACTGGTAAATCGTGCTATGTCTGTGTAGGGCTGTACACGCAATAATTGTGGTATACACCTTCGTACACGCATTTCCTGCACTTTATCTCCTGAGCTGCTGCATACCCACTCTTTCAGCGCACTTCTCCTTGTCTGTTGTACATGCAAATTCATACACTCAATTGCATATGGCTATTGTGTGTTTCGTTTGTTTTGTACATGGACATACATTCGCTCTTGCTTGCTTTCGTTATAAAAGGCCAGGTTCGCCCCTTGTATGTGTGTTGTTGTGTGTGTGTGTTCTGACGATGGGTGACTGGCCCGAAAAGTCAATATTTTTTTCGACATCACTAACGAGAGAGCTTGGAAGCTCAGCGCCCTACGCTATGCTTTTTTTGCCTAGCTCATCATGCATGTTATTAGAACTGATGGAAATGTTTTTTTTTCCATTGATTGGCTACATCATTGTATTGCAAAAAAGTTTCAATCAGTTTGAATATGAGTTAGGCAAAAGTAATTGCAGAATTTATTGCGCATTGTTATATTCTCCCACTTCATCCACTTTTGGTTTGCTCCTTCTTTTCCTTTTTATCTCCTTATAATCGGATTTTCTGGCCTTTTGGAGTAATACATTGACCTGTTGAGCCAATGAGGTAAAATAAAATTCCATACAATACGATACAATACAATTATACAATAATTTCCTTGCCTTGATAGTGTGCTTGTGCTTAACTGTTGCTGACGGCCGAATTCATGGGTGCCTCTGGAGCATATTACATCACTTTACAGTCTCCTATAATACACATCCCGTCCGACGGCAAAAGAGGCTGCGATTTTGTTTTTCTGCACGTTATCAGCAATGACTACAGATCTTCAGCAACTTGGGTCTCCTATAATACGCATCCTGTCTATGCTTTTGTAATGCTAACATAATGCTCGGGATAGCACTCGCTACTGATCTTCATAAACTTGGCCTGACTCTCACTCACAATAAGACTGTTGTAACGTTCATCGTTCCCAAGCGTTCGCTTGTTTCTCCCACAATTTCATCGTACTGTTGTACGACATGCTATACAACATCCTTATACCGTACAACACCGCATTGATGTCTGGCTGTCTTTGATGGTACGGTACGGGACATTGTATTTCTCGCCGGCCGAGCGCAGCGAGATAGGCGAGAAATTATTATTATTATTATTATTATTATTTATTACAACATCTCAAGACTCGGCGGAAACACCGGCCAATGTTACGAGAGTGGGTGATTGCCAACCACGGCGATAAATAGAAATAAGGGGAGGGAAAAAGAAAGAGTAGCAAAACGAACAGCAACAACAACTCCGTAAAGAAAGATAATGTCAAATAAAAACAGTGAAAAACACAGAGACGCAAAGGACATGCGGATAATGAGCTATGTATGTCGTAGTAAATAAGGGGCGGCACGGATCTTAAACAGGCGGAGTGAGGTCAGGTCCTTAATTTCTCTGGGTAGAGTGAGCCAAACAGAATAAGCAATAAAGAGAGGGGAGCGCAAAAGAGTGATTTCTCGCGAAACATTTTCAGTTGCAAATATGGCATCTGGTGTGTTCTTTATTGTCGCTTCTTTTCCTGACTTAAGTCAGTTTTGAGTCTCACCAGTGTCCCTGCCCTACCACCCTTCATTTCGGTGCATATTATCATTGCTTTTTTATCACTTCACGTTATGATCTTGCATTTGAAAGCCCTATTTGAGTATTGTGGCCAGCTGTTCGTGGCCAGCCGTCTTTGATGGTACAGAACGGTACGGGACAGGTACGGTCGAGGGTAATACGACACCGTCTACCACCTTGATGACCTAGGCAAAAAAGCATAGGGATGTTATGGCATAACCCGGGATTCGAACCCGCACAATCGCCCTACATGATTACCCGAACACTTCGCATTCATACTCATTCTTCCAAGTTGCTTCACGTTGTGATCTTGCATTTGAAAGCCCTATTTGAATATTGTGGCCAGCTGTTTGTGGTCAGCTGTCTTTGCTGGTACGGTACGGTACGGGACAGATACAGGATAGCGCCAGACAAAGGTCCGCCCGCCCGCCACAAACACCAAATTAAAGCTGTGTGGACCCTGGGTAGCGCCAGACGTTACTGAAGTAACGTCTTTTGCATAGCTACGGGAATAAAATATTTTTTCATCCAGCGCACGCGCCAATTCGACATCACTAATAAAATAATTTTTCATCCAGCGCACGCGCCAAGATTCAATAGCAACAAAATAGAGCGGTTGTCAGTTGACAAACCCCCTTTTATTTAAAATGCCACTGAGGCCAATACATACTGTTTATAAAATACTCCTTTTTAGGAAAACGTGCGGTGTTGTATTTATTGAGTCAAGGCAAATTTATTTGAATTTCATACTGTTGATGGTGTGGCCACTAATGAGTGTGGGTATTTATCAAAGGTCAATATATTTAGCGGTAATATCGTTATACTTATAGCAATAATGTTATAGAGGTTAGCCAATGGTGTTGCCAACCGCCCGTTTTCGTCCGTATTTTTACGGAAAAACGAAGGTTTGTCCGCAGTACGGATATCAATTATCTCGAAAACGATCATGTATTATCGATTACTAAAACCTTCGTAACTCCATCGTTTCTTATGCAAATTCAACAATCGAAGAGTCTATGTGGTAGCGAAAACATCCATCTGTCCAATGCAATAATCGCCGAAGAGTGACGATGTCGGACTCCAGAGATATCGCACGCCGTATTTTCATCTCTGTAAATACTAGTACTGGTTATATCCAAATATTTGATCGATGTCTTCGCCATTTGGGAGGAAATTACACTAATAATCTGTCAAAATGTTGACCCGGAAAAAACGAGTACGCAAAACTCTGAAAAAATCTACAAAATGGCACTGGGCAGTACGCATGGGGGTAGAGGGCACTTGGTAACACTGAGCCATTGTATACAAAAGTCAATGGAGTGATTCGGTTTGACAGAAAAATATCGTTATACAGGTGATATTGTTATAGTGGTTATCGTTATAAGAGTAGGTCGACTGTAATCACTTGCAAAAATTATGACGTTACTGGCCCAGAAGTCACCCATTGTCAAAACAGTCTATTTAAATGGAGGAAAGGTATAATTTACCACACCTACCAGTACATTCCTTCTGAACAGTCCACTCAATGCCATCATTTGATTCGAACCTGATTTTCTGACCCCAATTCTGGGCACTGCCTTTCCTGAAACCATATCCAGGGTTGCATTTATATTGGGAAGTGATAACACACTTTTTTGACGTTGCATCAAACTTGAATGTGTTTGTCTGCATTGCCTGCTGAAAGGCATTGCTTGGTGTAGTGGTGGGTGTGTTTTGCAAGTCTCCACTTATACAATTCTGTTCAAAGGTCACATCTTCACTCCCACAGCACTGACGATCCGCTGCAAATTGTACAAAGAAAGAGTGAAGAGGAACAGGATAGAGGGATTAAAACTTCACATTGTTTAGCACAACCTTAGCACTCTGAGTAGTAATATCATCATTATTAATGTGCAATTGAACACAGTCATTCTAGTGGTGGCAAAGTCCAACGCGATGAATGAGCCACGTTCTCTGAGGAGCATAGTGTCCTATAGTGGCAGGGACATGCAGCCTGGAGCTGTTATAATTATTTACAAGGGCAGATTTCACTTGCCAAAACTGTGGATCCAGAACACTGCCTCTTCATGGACTACAGCACAACTATCAGCACAACAATCACTTCTCCCAGTAACTGACCCACAAGCTACTAGTATAATTGTGTTGAGACAACCTATTTCTGGCTACTACATAGCACTGCCATGTGTCCTCCACCTTGTAACAATCTGTCACCGTCAAAGCATACACAGCCATTGTAGTATGCGATCACAAAGCAATTTGTCTACAGCCCTGAACTGAGAAATCCAATCTAATGAATACGATAGCGCTGAGTGTGACGCAGCAATATCACACACACACGCACACACACACACACACACACACACACACACACACCACACACACACTAACACACACACACACACACACACACACAAACCACACACACACACACACACACACACACACACACACACACACACACACACACACACACACACACACACACACACACACACACATACACACACACACACACACACACACAAACAAACACGACACTCTGAACACAGCACTACATTATTCATGAGGTTGGATTTCTCTGGCCAGAACTGTAGTTTTTCTAGTTCAGGATGCATCGCTACAATAGGAAAAAGGACGAGATGTCTAATGAAAACGGTCTACCAATTAGCTTTGCTGTTTCAGTAGATAGTCCTGGCTATAAAACTATCTCGGCTTCACACTGCAACAACACAACCACTATTAGACGTCTGAGCAAGGCTGCACTCGTACTCCTCCCCCCCCCCCCCCGCGGAAAAGATATGGAGGTACGCGACATGTATTTCTATAAACCCTGAGGTATTTTCGTCAGAGTGCACTGGTGTTACTGCTTTGCCCTAAGCTAACCCTCCGTTTCGTGGTTATGCTATTAGAAGAATACTTTCGACAGCTTGAAATATAATAGCCTCGGACCCCCTACACCTACAGAGGCCAGGCCTGATGATATTGATCATAGTTATCAACACATACATCTATGACTCTGCATGTATAATTTCACTCCATATTGAATAATGTGGTAGGGGTTTGTTGTCACAAACGAACAGTTCACTCAGCTCACTCACCTGCCAGCGCCAGGAACGCAATTAGGACCATTGCTGCTCGCCACGCCATAGTGACTCACTCTTTCTGGAGTCGCCCTATTCCTCGGGCACTGCAGAATTCGCTGGACAACGAACACCACCTTCAGCATACAAGAGAAAGGTGTTGGAAATGTTTTGACAGCAATGTTTGCAGTGGCATACAGTATAGGCGACGCAGAGAAACAGCTCCTCCACTAACCGGATTCATTTTTCTTGGTCAACTTTTGGCGCTTGTTCTGCGACCGAGACAACTGGCTTGCTTCTTCGACACATCAAACAACACATTGGACAGACGTAGTCTTCTTGCGCCGTTCATTCACGCATGAACTAGTTCACTCAGCCGTAACCAGCAGATTGTAACGACTGCATATCCGCGACCAATATTTCGGTGAGCAGAGCGCTGATGGAAGTACATAATTCCTCGGCTGCCAAAAAACTGAGCACCTTTCCATCTCTGCCTGCAATACCTTTGGAGCTGGCCAGGTGGCTTCTGGACTTCCACACCATGAACACACGAGCTGTTTCCATCTGTGGATCCGAAAAAGGCTGTGTTCACTCAGATTCAGAACAGTGGATGGTCTGCCGCTGACCTAAAAATAATAGTAAAAAATAATGTCTTAGGTCAGCGGCTGGTTCGCTTTCTCCTCTGTGCATGCAACCAACCGGGCAAAGGCCAGGTTCGTGCTTTTATTTCGCACGAATCCACGTCCACCGGGTCCACGCGTCTACCATGTCTACCGGTACACCATGTCCACAGAAAACGGAAGTGAAGAGCTGCTTGTATGATTGTTGATAGAAAAAATTAATGTATGTACATGACCAAGGAAGCATATCCGTTGCTACTCGTATATACTCAGGCTTCAGAGTTTTTTAGTTTGTTTTTATCGTCAGGCAAACAAACCGAACAAACTGAAGCACGGCTGTAAAGTAAGTACAGTAAGTCCTCTACACTGTATACAGTGTAGGTTTACAAGTTTCGACTTAGCGGGGTTGATATCCAGACACTCCGCAAAAGACAGGCACCCGACAAGCCATGCGCCGAGGTGAATAAGCAACCGAGTCGACTCAATGGCAAAAATGATACGAGGCATTTTGTGAGCTTGAAGTAAGTTGAACGATCACATAATCATTGACCGCTTCGCAAACAACCTCCTGTGCATACTATCAAGAGTACATAAACGGTCTATGTATTCTTGATAGTATGCATACTCATCAACTCCGCAAAGGCCGAACTTGGAGTTGTGAGTGAATCTATTGGACAGCGACTCATGTAGATCCACTACAATAGTGTGACCAATATCGCAGCAGTAATCAGTGGGCGAAGCAACAACTAAGACAAGAAGCACCCGAAAAGCCTTGCCGGGGAAAGCAAGAATGCCCCAAAGAAGGTGGCCAAGTTTCACACGGTGTATATGAAGCACACGTCACCACACCAGTCAAGATGAGCACAAAACATACATGTACATCGACTCAGCAGAAACCACTTTCAAGACAAGACTAGTAGTAGTAAGACAACCACACGTTGTCATTCCGCGACAAGAAATACCGCAAAAGCACTGAGCTCACCAAACACCTACGGCAAAAGAAATCCACCAACAAAAAGTAGATTTTTTTTACGAGAAACCACGAACCTCGAGAACAGAATACTGCATGATAGAGGTGGTTACAGACGCAACTGTGGTGGTGAAACTGGAGCATCTCCGCCGACCTGAGGTCTCGGCTTCAGCGACACTTCAGTGCACCAAAAACTGGGGAGGAGTAGGCACAGGGGGAGGGGAGGGGGGGGGGGGGTACATCCACGAGCTGTCCTGGAGGATCAAGGACAAGACCGGCAGTTCCTTCAACCTCTCAACAAAAGATTGTACTTGTACTTTTTGTAGCCTTTGCGGCTTTGGCTTTGCAGTTTGCACCATTACTGGCATTAGTCATTGATAGGGTCCAGCGGATAATGCCGGCATTATATTCGGCATTATACGACTATCCGAGCATCAGAGCATTATGGAGCATTAGAAAGGAACAGAACGAGCATTACGTGTGGTTTGAGCGGCATAAAGAGTTTCATAGTGGATAATATCGGGAAATCCCAGGTTTTTGGCAACAATCGGCTACAATCATGATCATGAGATGTTGTCTGATGATTGGTTTTTGCCATGAAACTCTGAGTAACAACGAAACAGCCCTATTTTACTCCTTTTGTGTACCTCTTGCGCACTACGCTCCGCCCATTCCGGGCGTTTGAGCACTATGCATTGTACCGGCGCTTTACTTTGTGATTGTGTAGACACGTAACACATTTAGCACTAACGCTACATAGCTATTGCTACATAAAAACGTTATGATTGTAGCGATGTGGTCAGGTAAATGTATACAAGCCATTCGTGAAGCATGCCCAACCGAAGCCGAGGAAGTTCAAGTGACACAAATCCGGAGAAATTATTTACGAGGTTTCTTTTACTTTGAGAATAATGGAGAGCTATGGAGGAGACATACGCGAAGTGAATATCAAACAGACGAAGAAGAGTTTTCTAGTTGTGCCAGAGGCTCTGGCGATAGCATCTCTATCGATACTGAAGTAGACACTGATGCATTGCCAAATTTGGACCGGCAGGATAAAGGAGCGGCTATAAACAGAAAGAGCTCGTTCCAAAAGAACTGCCTTTGCCGAGTCCAGCTCAGGAGGCTCGAAAAGAACTAGAATTTCTCATGGACTCAGTACCAAGTCGATTGCTCAGCAGCGCCTGTCTTACTTTCCTGATGAAGCACGTACAGTTAGTTGTGGACGGTTGTAATGCCAGGCCTACAGTCAAATACTATCAGAAAGGAAGAGTATTGTGGCAAGCCATACGTCTACACACCATCTCAAGGAGAAGATGAGAGCACAAGCAAAGGATGTAGAGTGGCAAAATGACTTCTGACCACATGTTTTCAGGATTTCCTCAAATGGGAGGGCTCTCGATCTGAGATCGGATCTCAGGAGCTGGCCTCACGTCTGGTGTTTCAGATGAAGACATTATTCACAGAGTGGACGCAGTGACAGCTTGTCTGCAGGCAGGGATACTATTTGCCAAGATTAACTTCATCCCAACAATGAATGACTACCTGCAATAATGGTTTCATCTCTCACAACATAGATAATTAGGGGAAGGATTTGATACACCGAATATTTTGCCACAACCCTGCATCAAAGTTAGAATGGAGAGCAATCAATGGAGAAGCGATCATGTCATAGTGCTAAGAAGTAGTGGAGCTCGTGAGAGATAAGGTGGCAACTTCAGATGCAGATCAACGATATGCATAGTTTCCTGGCAGTTTGACAATGTGCAGACTTTCTTCCATTTTTGTCCCAAACCAAGAGCATTATATCCAATGCTGAAGCATTATAATCAGCATTATAAGGCAGTTTTTGGAGCATTATGGTTAGCATTATACGAACATTTTCGGAGCATTATCCGCTGGACCCTACCGAGTGGACGGTTCGATGGACTTCTGGTGTGCTCTGGATGGCAGTGGTGAGTCAGTCAAGTGAGAATTCAAGTCGGCAGGAAAACCGCGAGCTCCCACGGCCAATGTTAAGAGTGTTGCAAACCACCAGTTCTCAATTGGGAAAGGCCTTCGCGCTTATGGTATTGTATTCGTCGCAATGTTGTCTTTCGACTCCGCCGTACCGCTGATGTTGCTGCATGGCATACGCTATATGCGCTGTGTGTGTTTTGCTGTATACGCTGTTATGTCCAGTTTTATATGCGTATGTTTTTGCATGTACGCTGTTTTTGCATGCTATAAATAGCTGGTGTTATTAGTGTTCATTGTTAATTATTCGATGAAGTGAAATATACTGTGTAAAGGAAAAGAGTTGTCCTCGTGCCGTGTGGTCGTACGATCCTGACAATTTAGAGAATCTTAGAGGGTTCACAACATTTTGCGACCACGCCAGGATAGGAGCGAGCATGGCAGAGCAACTACACAATTTGGAAGCCAGCTTTATCGCCAATGGAGTTCGGTTAGGATTAGAAGGCGAGTTGTTGATGGAACATGTGGAGCAGAGGCTCCAACAGTACGAGGAGCGTGAGGAGCGCAGTGCCAGACGGCGAGAGGAGGCGCTCCGCACCGAGTTTGACAAAACACTAAAGGAGATTAACGAGCGCATCGCCAATGCATATGAGGGTGATGGTAAAGCCGCGATGGGAGGTACAGAGGAATTTCCCAGTCACAGCGGTGGGCGTCAACCGTTGATGAAAATCCCCTCATATGATGGAACGCAGCCATTGGAGCGTGATCTTGACTGTTCGAGGACATCTGTTCCAAGAACGAGTTCGAAGAAAGTGAATGGCTGCTGCGACTGCGCATCGCGCTAGCGGGTAGCAAAGCGGAGAGGATATGATGTATTGGATGCAATAATTACGAGGACGCAAAACGAGAGTTGCTTGCCTCGCTCGGAAAGACTCCGGATAAAGCGTGGAAGACATTGCTGACAGGCAAGCAGCGGTCAGATGAGTCGTTTCATCAATACGTTGTCCGTGTTTGCCGAGAGGTAGAGGTGTGGGCCACACTCGCTATGACAGAAGATGGCGAGGTGGACACCAAGTATAGCGCCGATATAGGTAAAATGTCCCCGGTGCTGCAAGCAATGGCAAAGCAGGTAACCTTGGAGCAATGCGGACCTGAGATCAAGACGTACCTGGTCGAACGGCAGTGCTACGGGATGTCACTGCGCCAGGTACAGGAGCACGGCGCGTCTTACCAGGCCGCGCACGGACGACAGGGTGATACTGCCAGGAAGCCAGTAGAACGATCCGTGCCAAGGCCCACGGCGTCGGCACAGTGCATGGCGATATCGGTCGCAGATGCAGAGAAGCAGCTAAAGTCGCTGCCACAGGAAGGGAGAAAGGGTTTTCTGCAGCGAGAGAGACTCTGCTGGAACTGCCTTAAGTATGGCCATATGGCCAGAGAATGTCGGTCAGGCTCGAGATGCACGAAATGCCAGAGGAAACACCACCTGCTAATACATGATGTGTTGGATAGAGCAGGTTACAGCCGAGAGAAACCGACTGAGATAGTTACGGAGAAGAATGTTGGGTCGTGCTGTCTACACTCGCCAAGTGTGCGGCTGATGACCGGAGTGGCACGAGTTGAGGGAAGAACTCGAAACGCGAAGGTTCGCGTGTTCCTGGACTCGGGTGCTGAGGCGTCATTCGTGACTGCAGCGTTGGTGTCAGCAATCGATGCAGAACACGTTGGGGTTGAAAATGTAGAGGTGAAGCCGTTCGGCGCGGAACCAACCCAACAGCGCATGGATAAGTACGCCATCACGATCCAGGGTAGCTCCGCTAGCATTCGGGTACGCGCGTTCGTGAAACCAACGCTTGAGATGGACCTGAAGTGCGCAAGTCCGCAGACCATTGCGCAGTGGCACAGTTGGGGAGTAGAGCTGAGTGACAAGCCTCAACAAGGGACATCAGACGAAATACATATGCTGATTGGTGCAGACTATATCAACGCGGTACTGCACAGCAAGAAGGAAGTTAATGGTGAGACGGTGTGGAACACAGAGATAGGTAATGTATTATCTGGT